AGACATACTTATAAAGAACTGATATTGCAGTTTATAAATTACTATATGGTGTGCTAAATAGCTTATTGATGTACCAAATGATATCACACTTGTCGTCGCTAAGAAAAGGTTTTGCTGAGCTTTGCTGACCACTCACCGGTAACTGTTTTTCCACAGGCTGATAGTCTAGATGGAGCCCTCTGCGTACCGGACATCAAACTGCACAGCAACCCATCTGCATTCAATGTCTACTGCAACGTGCGGCACTGTGTGCTGGACTGGCAGCAGAGAGAGGCCTCCCTGGCGCTGGCTTCCAGGAGCTCGGTGCAGAGCGGCGACTCAGACAGTGAGGAGGAGGAAGAGTACCGCGAGCCAGCCGTGAAGCTGCCAAAGGTATGAGCAGGGGGTAGTATTGGCTGCTTATGTGGTGGTAGCAGCGCACTGTAATATGGCGAGAGCCAGCCAGTGCTCTTTATCTTAGGGATGCAACAATCCTTTATCTCCCCGGGCTTGTATGTAGGGCTCATCCTTCTTCTTATTGTTGTGATAATTAGAGACACTTTACCAGAGGTTTGAAACCCCCATCCTGTGAGGATTAGAGCCTCTGCTCTGTTACCCCAACTCCCCCCTGTAATCTGTGAGCCTGCCGGTTTATCTTTATTACTTCATATCAGGGCTCTCAGGTTTTCTTTAAAATGTAAGCTTTTTCTCGTAGGTGTGAACAAACTTTTATATCTGTCTGTAATTACAGTTATTTTCTGATTTACTGTCTATGAAAAGAGTGGAATACGTTTGCCTTACTCAAGTAAGGTGTTGATGAAATGCACCGTCACCTGACTTACTGCATGCCCTATTGCCCTGTCAGTAAACTAGCCTATTGCTGTTGTCTCGGATAACATAAAATAGAAGTGCAATCCATGATAAACAAATAAATACAACACCAAAGTGTCTAGAGGCAATGTGTCAAAAGTTTATTTTAGGTTCTGTGCCATAAATGGCAGAATAAAGGGAGGAAGTTAAGGGTGTTTGCTGACTTTGTAAAAGGCTATTACCTTACAGTACCGCCATAAGATAAAGTAACAACACTTGTCATCCAAGTGAGGCAGCAGGGGCCCCATAAATAAGACGATCATCAATTGTACAACATAGTTTAGGATTAAGCTACAGAGATGCCTTCAAATTACCTGCATTATGCCATACCTTTTTCTAATCTCTCTTGCACACTGTGTTGCTGCTTTAAAATACTCTACAACAGGACAAACAGTTATACAGTGCGACAGCAGTTATTGCACAATTCTGTGTTTGTGCTTGTTTGTGATGAGAATTTTTAGGGATCCATCGATTGGTAAAATCTGGGCCTGTACCGATGTTTAAAATAACGATTTGCTGATACCATCTTGCCGATCCTGATACCAGTTAGGGCTGCTCGATTATGGAAAAAATCATAATCACGATTATTTGGGTCAAAATTGAAATCACGATTATTCAAACGATTATTTTTTTAAACTTCAGAAACATGCTGCATTTATTGGACATTTGTCAAAAACACTTTGCAAGGAAGGTCCATCAGTTCACCACTTCCTTTCCATTTAACAACATTTGTAAGGTCCCACGTTACCGCTTTTGCAAACCGAAAGGCAACGGTAACAGGAGAAGACTGCAGCTAGTGTCGCAACCACACAGCACAAGTATAAGTTAGTTTACGGGCGCTCCTGTGGACTTTCACATTGTAGCGCAACAGGTCTGGGGAACGGCGGAGCTTATTACCGAGCGCCACTTGACTCGATGTGCAGTGCATGTTGTGGGGAGGACGAAATACGCAGCGCAAAATATGCAAGACTGTGGCTGTGTCCCAATTCAGGGGCTGCATCCCTTGAATTGGGACGACGCCACTTTAGTATTGATTGAAGGCGTTCATACCATACCTCATTTGTCCGGACCTTCGGACTTTTCAGTTTTGCCCGACCAACAATTGTTTAGGTGGAGAAGAGGGCCACTGACCACGGGGTCCGATCAAAAGACCAAATTTGGTGCGCGACGACTAAAGAGGTGGTCTGCGGTCCGGATCAAACTGAACGCCATGATTCGGTTCGGTTTTACAGTATGAAAAAGCGTTTTTGGATGTTCTTCCCTTTTTTAATTAGGATACTACCAGTAGAAGAAGAAGAAAAAAAAAAACGAAGAAAACCCACGCAGAAACACAACAAAAATGAGCTGGTAAGTATGTGTGGAGAGGGGAGAACGTATTAGCATGTTTTTAATTGTTCAATTTGGTCAGACGAAAACATTAAAAGTCAAGTTAGAAAACACTCACAAAGAATGCCGACCTTTACAAAGTATTTTGCGAACGTAGAGCAACTGTCATCTAAAGGTGAAGAACTACGGAACAGTACATAGAAGGTATTCTGTGATGCATCAGAAAAAGCGGTGCCATGCGTCGTGAAGACATGTGTGTGAAAGGGTGAATGTTGGCACTCATACTGTAAAACGCTTTTGAGTGGTCGGAAGACTAGAAAGGCGCTATACACAGTACAGGTCCATTTAACCATTTCATACTTAGTCTAAAATAGAAAGAGAGAGAGAGAGAATGGAAATAAAGTTATGAAGATGGTTAAGTGTATTCAAACAAATCTGATGTCTGTCACAATACTCTGCAGCCACTGGCATTGACAAGGTCATGTCGTCCAGCAGTGTGCCACAGGTAACGAATGTTAATAAGAGATAAGTTTTTGAATTTTTTGGAACTTTTTATAAAATTCTGTGTTATGAATTTAATTTTTTTTTTTTATGCAATTAACAGCATTACTAAATACGTGGTCTTCTTTTTTGAAATTGGTTTTCTTCTTGTTGTTCTATTAGCTCTTTGGTTGTTTTAACTTTTTTAATTAAGGATGAGGGTGTTTATCAGAGTTGAGGCTCTGTGAATATAACTTGTGTTCAGATCTTCAAGGTTTACATCTTAAATAATAATCAAAACAACCCTCCCTTAAAATCAAGGAACCTGTGCACAAATGGATGGTGCGGTCTGTTTAATTATAAAATATGCAGTCAAATGAATGTCACTGTAGTACAAGTAGAACCCTTATAGTTACCTTATTTGCTAAGTCCTCTCATACTTTGAAATTGTTGTGTTATAAATACTGATAAAGAGTTATATTCATTATCCTACACAAATGCAGCTAACTGACTGTGTCAAGGTCAAGGTTTACGGTGACTGAGGAGCTGTTGTGTTAGTTTGTTAGTTTGTCAGTTTTCAGTTTCTTATCTGATAATCATATAACCCACCTTTGCACCCTTGTCAGATTGTGTATGGTTCACACAATAAAATTACCAAGCAAAACTGTGGATTCTCAAGTGTTATTTCACCACTGGAAACATGGTTTTCCATAAAACTGGACTGTCTATGCAGTAGAATTTTTTTAATTGGTGCACACGACCAGAGAACGCTGCTTGAAAACTGCTTGTTATGCCTCTTTCGGTATCTGATCTATACCTCCTGCCTGATCAGTACTGCAGATGTGCAACTTTCAACAGAGATGAGAAGATGGCTCCCTCGTTATCTACTTCAGTTATCAGCTCTGGAAAAAAAAACAATGTTTTTTAATGTTAAAATTCCTTACTTTTCAGTGTTTGCTAAGGTAGCATTAATAAGAAATTGTTGATGATACAAAGCTAGTTCAAAATGAGTTTCCCTTTTAATGACAAAAGAAAAACGAAAAATATGTATAGTACCCGGCCAGTGTGAAGGATTTAGTGGCATCTAGTACATTATTTTACTGGGGTTTCCAAGCTTGCACACAACCTTGATTTTGATTTTGTCTAACAGTAAGTCAATGGTTTTCAAACTGGGGTGCAGGGACCAACAGGAGTTATTGAATGAGTTGTAGGGGGTCACCAGTAAATGGAAGAATAGCATATTTTAATTGATATCCCATTTTTTGGAAGTTGGAACAACAGAAGAAATAGAGTTGGTAGTTTTGTATTGATTGTTATTTATAGTGATCATATTTTGATCATTTAATGACTAAGAAGATTTTATTATCTTCAAACCTAAAAATTAAAAAAATGATTCCTTGAGACAAAGTCCTCGCAAATTTGGTTTTCCTGGTCTAATGTGCATCTACTATGGGGATCGTGACATGATGAGGTTTGGAAAACCCTGTGAGCAGAGCTGATGCTACTATTCTCTGTATTTAGTATTTAAATAAAAGATGTGCTGGTGACATTGCAAACCTCATGGCGGTGCAAGAGTAAAGATCAGGGGATCGCAAAGTCATTAGGCTTCTTCCTTGGGGGACCTTCAATGCAAGTATAAAATTTCATGGCACCCCATCCTATGGTTCTTGAGTTATTTCTGTCTGGAACAAAACGTTGGACTGGCTGACCTGAGGTTATAAGGGAAATGTGATGGTTTAGCTTCAAGCCAA